CTGCTGCCCCCCTCGGCTTTATAAAACGCTGCGAGGGCCTCGCTGCCCTTGCAGCTCCCTGGCCTCAGGGCCACGCTCCGCTCCTGTCGCATCCCACTGGGTTCCCGGCCCTTTTTCCCTGCGGCCGCTGCGTCCCAAGGGGAGCTCTTGGCGGAGGCGGCGGCACCGTGTCCCTGTCCTGCCTGCGCCCAAGGGGTGAGCAGCTGGAGCGCCCGGCCTGTGGGGAGGCTCCGCACCGCGCGCAGACCGGGGCCACAGGAGCCTGTCCGAGCCTGATCCGTTTAGTGCGACTCTCCCTGTTCTTTGGAAAGGAGCCTTGGAAGCAGAAATGAGAGCCAGGTGAAAACTGCTGCTTCTCAGCTCCTTTTCATTGCTTTATAAAGTTTTAATGTTGGTGTTTTGATCTCGTTTCCTGCTCAGGTGCCAACCTGTGATTCTTTCTGGGCTAGTCTCTCCATGCTCCAAGTCTCAGCCCCCCCAGCCATGTGGAAAGGATTCCTTGCTAGAGAACACGAGCTAGGCAGGCTCTAGCCTTGGATTCTTCAGCTTTCAGCTCCTTTGTCCAAATGACTGACCCTTGTCCCTGTTGAGCTCAAGCCATTTCACTGTCACTTTGTTTCTTTTATTTGATTATTATTATTTTATTGTGGGCTTAGCTCTGCAGCCACAGCAGGCGGGCGATGAGGAGCGGAGCCGGGCTCTGCCTGTAGCACAGCCTGCATGGGAATGGGGCACAAAAACGCACCCGAGGAGCTCATGCCTCGCTCTGGCTTGACCAGGTCAGAAAGCTTCAAGCTTGCAGATTTCTGGCTTTTTTATTCCTTTGGTAGGCCGTTCTTTCCTTAGGTTTATGTTTCTGAGAGCCTCTGATGCCCTTAAATGGGATAACTGGGGAAGTGACTCGGGAGCGCAGTGCCTGGTGAGCTGGGCTCGCTTGGCCAGGACGGAAGCAGATGAAGAGATGCTCTTGAGGGCAGCTTGTATAAACCGGGAAAAAATGGGAATAAATGAGTGAGTTTTCACCAGTAGAAATGATGCAGGGCTCGGTGCCTGAGCCCTAAATTTCGTTTCCAAATCATGAGCTGCTATTAATTAGCAGCTCTTAATGAAACAAAAAATGTAGCTATGTAGCTGCAATCTTTTTTTGTTTTGTTTTGTTTTCTCAGGGGAAAGATACCTCTGATGATGGGTACTTTTTGCTCTATTTAAAAAAGAAAAAAACTCAGACAAACTCATTTTGCTCAAAAATGTGCACCCAGTGGGGGTTATTTTGGGGCGAAAAGGTAACTTTTAGCTGCAACAGGTGTAAATCCTGGACTGACTGGGACAGGAAGGTCCCTTTTACCCCTGCAGATCTGCTGGCCTTTCCGTGCGTCCTGCCTTGCCCTTTTATAGTGTCGTGAAGCAAAGTGCCCCTCATAGAGCAGAAGAATCCTAAAATTAACGAGGCAGGCAGTTTTCCTGGAGAAGAGGGTGGTCCCGTGATTGCAGCGGGATCATCAGGGAAAGTTGTTCTTGCAGCTCTGCTTTTCCCATCCTCCAGCAGGGAATAGGAGGGTGCTGCGTGTGCGTCACGTTGAATTTGCGAGGCATTAGCATTTGCAGTGAGCTGTTCTCATGGGAAAGCTGCCGTATCCCGGCGAGGAGGAAATGTCTCGAGGTGCCGGCGCAGTGAGAGGACGTGTCAATTGTTTCCTTCCCGGCACTTTGGGAAGGGAGCCCAAAAGTTTATCTCGGCATTTGCAACAGCGTCAACAAATGCCAAGTGCTTGATCCAAGTGCACAGAAAAGGAGCAAGTCTCCCTTGGCCTCCCCGGGCAGATGCAGGGGGGAAACAAGACGAAAAGCAATGGGAAGAAGGGGCTCCTTTGCAGAAGAGGGGAAAGCAGCTAAGTCATGCAGATGTGTGCCTGTGTGTGTATATATATATATACATATATATAACTTAGTTTCGTATTACCAAAATCTGTACTGTGCACACGTGATCAAAAGATTAAAGAGATTGTCCAGTTCTGTTGGCAGCATATTAAAGTATTAAGACTCTAGGCTTACTATGGTGTGTTTCTATTGCCAAGCTGGCCACAGAATCCAAGTGATTCGAAGAAGGATGGGGTTTGAGTACATGTGCTGAAATCGCCCCATCCTTCTGCATCGGGCTTCCGGATGCGGTCTCGGCTGTGGGAATTGCTTGGGAATGGCTGCTCCGCGCTGCTTCCCCATCCCTCTCGCTGGGCACTGTTTTTTCTACCTGCCGTGCTCCCACTGATATTCCCAGGTACTGCATTGGGATTTCCATGACAGGCCAGAGCTAAATCCTGGCTTCAAGTGTTGAGCTGCAAGGGCTCTTCCAGGAGAGTTTCTGCACTGACCTAGCCCAGATAGTGCAGGCCATAAGGTGTCATTAACTTGAATATCAGAAACTTGCACTGACCCTCGAGCAAGATGAGCACAAACCCCGTATCCACCTGCTTTCCGGAGCGCCGTGTTCAGGAGGGCACAAGCCGCAGCCTGCTCCAGCCAGGACAGGCTGCAGCAGCACCGTGCTGCCGAGAGCGCAGGGCGCTTTGCTTACCGAGATCTACCTTTGCAGGGCAGTTTCCACATAACGAATTACTTCAGAGTCAAATGATACCGTGCTTAGGGCCAGTCTAGGGGTTTGCTTTGAAGTGATCAGGTTGGAGAACTTTTTTTAGTCCTTGAAAGCTGAGAATGCAGTTTTGGAGGAGCCTCTTTTTAGATGCTTTTTTTTCTACTTGAGTAGCTCAACAGTGGTTTGCACTTAACATTTCTAATTTGTCCTCTGTGTTTGCTTTTCAGAGGAGCTGCCACTAGAGATGTGTCTGTGTAAGCTCTCCTGGTTATAGATCTCATTTAGCTCGGCGTGAGAGACAGTGCAACGTGCAGAGAGCACAGGCTTTTTTCATAAGTTTCTAACCTATCTTTCCGTTTTCTGTGGAATCCTTGGGAGCTATTTTAAAGTTGATAACAGGAAGGGCTGAGATTGAAAATCTCAGCTGTGTTCAGCTTATGTG